CGAATACGGCAACTTGCTTGTCTGCACGTGCAGCGACGTTCTTCCGAATTAGTTTTTTTGTGATGATGGTACGGTGTTCGTCGAAAGACCGTCCAGGATCTCGATCCGTGCTGACAGTGCACCTAGCTCGATACTATCTATACCGAGAAAGCTTAGTCATGTACAGGCCTCATTAATTGAGAAAAATTGACCGAATTTCTCTCGCAATACCTATATTAAGAACCCTCGCTAACGTGCTGTTTGCAGGCTCGCCATCACAGTCAGTACAAACAAAGGTAGGTGCCGCCATGAAACTGCCACCAGAAACTCTGAAAGCTCCATTCAGTAGCATAAGATAAAGAAACAAACGTTGTTAGCGGCCTCATACACTTTTGTGGGGACTAGCTACTGCTTTCTCCAACAACTTCCTCGATACTACACGTTTTGAATAATCAGCTGTGAAGGGCGTCTATCGTCAACCTCTAGCTTGTTAATACTCTGGATTGAAAGTACGTGTCTCCCCTCAGTAGAATACTGAGCCTACCTTTAATGTTACATGCTTGAATTGTTATTACTAAGAATATATGATCCCTCATTAACCTTTCCCTTCTGTCCCTATAATAAGTTAATGGAGGGAAATCGAAAATAATCCTCAATTAATGAGGCCTCTGCATCAAACATGCATTAAAGTATGGTATTATTAATAATAGTACCAGTAGAGGAGACTTCACGACTTCCTCTACCCCCGACCTCACGACAGACACGGAATCTTCAAGATGGCAAACCAGAAGTTGAATAAAGAAGGTCGTAAGTAAGGAAATGGTACGTACATTACCTAAGGGGAGAAATGGCAGAAATCAACTAGTATCGGAAGTTACAGACTGTACCTTACAGTACATGTACATGTATGATACGTGACGCATCCTTGCCAAAAGGGTAATGCTGGGCCGACCGGACCCCATCGTTTCCCGATTTCTAATCGTTTAGCCTTCCAAGGCCGCTGACGTTGCGATAGCTTCACGGCAGTATGAAAGAGCAGACGCAAGGTCAGCAGTACTTTGCTTAGCAGCTCGTAACGATCTGTCAATGATATTTACTTTTTTTAACGGCTGTAGCTGTAACCTCTGCAAATCTTGTGTTTTGAACTTCAAGCGTTCATGGCGGAATCGTATCGTTGTCTGTAGACAGCAAGTATCTCGTCGATTACACAACTTTCGAGCAACTTAAACATGCGACCCTAAGCGCTAAACACGTCTGGGAGAACCCGCGCTTCATCCCTTGATGTTAAGCTCTGTTGGTCGAGCTACTCACCGGGAGCTTCATCTTGCAGTGCGCTGCGCTTGATCTCGACTGCCTTCGGCAGGCGAATCTGGTGCATTTTTCAGGTGTAGGGTAGCTGTGCGTTTTATGTTCGTAGGATTGGTTTTCGTTAGTCTCACAAGACTTCATTACTTAAAAAAAATGACTTGATTTACAAACTTCAATTACATGTTGTAAAAATGATCCATCCCAAAAGAAACTATAATACAAGAGAAGAGAATCTGGACGAGTATTGTGCGGCAAGTTTCTCGACGGGATCAAGCGAGACCGACAACGAGGCTGCAAGGTTGCCTTTGCGGGTAGAAATGCTTAGCGGAGGAATTCATAGTACCACAACGCCTGCCACCACATCAGCCACAGCGGAAACAACCACAGCAGGAGACAAAACTAGAGATCAATCTTAGAATTTTGCAAGCGTCTATGAAGTAGGATAAGTAGTGCGTAAACGTAACTACTCTTTATCTCGCTCTCTTTAGCTAGTGGAAATGAGTTATGATGTAAAAACGGTTAGCTGCTACAGTTACTTTTATAGTACCATTGGCGTTATGAACCCGGTTTTCTAGTATGAAAGTTTCGCCATCTCGACCAATTTGGTGAAATGTACCAGATGGTATGGAACGCCTAGCGAAACGATACCGGCTGGATTATCGTGAGATGTGATAGACGTCCAAAGGCTTTGGGCCAAAGCACACTGTCTATCTGGTCCAGACAGCATTGTCATTATCAAATTTACTCTCAACGCCCCCAGCCGGCTGCCCCCAGCAGTACAAGCACGTTTTTTCAACCAGCTA